TGCAAGAGTCCATCCTGAGTGTGCCCATGCCTGCCAGAAACCTTTTCTGCAACGATCTTCCTCGAGTAAGCCCAAGTTGCCGTCGCTGCTGCTAACCACAGCTTAGCTTTAGGCTGAGCAGGGATTTTCTAGGGAAAAAGCCTAGAAACCAGCTCTTCATGCTGTACTTCCCACAGGGAAGCCCTGCTTCGCTCTCTGCAGAGCCAGCGCATCCTTCAACAGTTGTTTTAAAGTTTACAGTTTCTATCTGCTGTGTCTGTGGTGTTTATGGGGCAAGGCACAACACTTCTGCGAGGGAGAACCTTGCTGTGTGGGACAGGGATGCCAGCAGGGATGGGGCAGCCCAGGCCATGCCCCTGGGCTAGCAGCAGAGGCAGGCTCAGGAAGGGGACAGATGTTACAGAGAGCCCCTTACTCCGTGGCTTGCACCTCCTGCCCTGGCTCCAGCAGGCAGGTTGCAGGGGGAGGCCACAAACCAGATGGATTAGTTAAGGGGTGGTGACAATAAACTCCTCCCAGCGACATCTGGCCATGCATCACCAGATGCACAAGTTGTCCCCCACTACCCCCTGCCATCAGCTAGTGCATCCCGCTCCCTCCCTGCCCCAGGGGTCAATGGGCACTGCAGCACAGACCCCGGGGGGGACACACCCACCATTACCCCACCTGAAATGATGCCACAACACAACCAGGCCCCTTATTAAATTAGTTTATTAGGGACGGCATTTTCATTGCTACACTGTGTAACAGTCCGGTGGGGAGGGCTCCAGTTTGTGGCTGGGGCAGCTCCTCTCTCTCCTTTATGAAAAGCTTGCTGCCTTGGTCAGTTCCAGTTACTCGTAGCAGTCAGTGCTGGGCACAACCCTGCCCTGGAGACCTCCGCCAGGTTTGCAAGTCCCACTGCTTCCAAAGTCCATGGTGGAGGTGGAAACCACAAATAAACCAAAATCCCTTCCCTCTTCTCTAAACGTACTCAGTGCTTCTAGAAAGGGACACAGGCAGCCTCTCAGCTGCTGTCCCATGACATTAAAGTGCTTCAGACAAAACAGGTGGATGGAGGGGTGCTGCTGAGGCAACTCCAGGGAAGGGGTTGCCAGCTCTGGGTGGCAGCAGGAGGGCTCGGCTTGGGGTTGGGGACAGGCAAGACCAAGGCAGACCAGCGTCTGGCAGCCCTAGAGCTTGCAGAGATGGAGAGTGAGCAGGAGAGCAGCTTCTCTCTAGGGAGAACAAGCAGGAGCAACACAGGAGGAAGCAAAACCCCAGGGCAGCAAGTAGCGAGCTGCACCCCCTTTCCTGGGATAGACGAGGCTTTGTCAGGATGCTGCAGAGGCTTGCAGCTGCTCTCCGCGCCCAAGCCCTGTGGCCACCTCTCCTGGTCCCAGCCTCTGCCCCTGGACCCTGCCACCCCTGCAGGGACAGCCCACGAGGGGTCACATCCCAGCCTCAAGCCAGGGCATGTGCTGCAAGAGCCATCAGCCCTAGATGCCTTCTGCCAGCGTATTGCTCCCCGGTCCCTCAACACCCTTCTCACACGTACACAGGCCACACCATCCTTCCAAACACCCCACTGCCACCCCACATCCCACCCATGCTAAGGTGGTGCTGGATGCCCACCCATGCCATGGGCTAAAGCATGCCACTGCAGTGCAGAAGCACCTGCTTGACTGACCGCGAGCCCCAGGGCACAGAGCTCACCCTGTACCGCAGGGTCCGACCCAGCACAGCTGTCAGTCATGGCAGGCAGCTCTGCATCAGCGAGGCACCGACCTTTTGCAGCACCCCAGTGCCAAACCCATTGCACCCTCGTGCAACCCCACTGTGAGCAGGCTGCCCGGCCATGCCACTGCACCACAGCCAGGAAGCCCTGAGGCTTTGCCTGGCTCAGGGACCCAAGGGGAGCAGGAGATCTGCTGGGAGAGGGGACATCTGGCAAACACCAGACCCGTGCAGTGGTGAGGAATCAGGAGCAGGAGAGCCCTGGAGGTTTTATACTGGTGAGTCCCAAGCAGATCACATGCCCCCTAAAGAGGCATTTCAAGCAGCACCTCCTTGAGGGGGGGGGGAACGCACAGTTAAAAATACAAGCAACCGCATTAAAAAAATAAAACCAAATCCAGCAGATTAAAAACCAAAAACCAACCTAAAAGAACAAACAGAGACAGAGGCTGGGGGGATGCAGCCAGAGGGCTGAGCCTTCACCCGCATCCTGATGGGTCTCGGACAGAAGGCAGCTGCATGCAAGGCAGGTCCTGGTGCCACCAGAGTGAGGTCCCACATCACCCTTAGATGAGGACATGTCCCCATGGGAGGACAGACCAGCAGTATGAGAAGGAAGCGGGCCTGGAAGCCTCGCTTACCGCATCCTGCAGCCATGGCGATCTGCCTCCGCTGAAAACCCGGCAGCACCGGTCCCCTCATGCAGCTGCTCCGGGGGCAATGCCCCTCGGCAGCACGGGCTGCGGGCAGAGAACAGGAAAAGCAGCTCAGCACAGACAGCACAGAGAGGAGAGGCAGAAATCTGGCATTTTCACCACTGCCACCTCCTTTGCTCTGATCCCAGAGTGAGAGCAAGTGCCCTCTGGCAGTGTCCCAAGCCAGATTTGAGAAAGCGAGCTGTTAAACGTACAACCAACCCCGAACCTCCACCCTCCCTCCACGCACACACCCCAGCAGCAGGACAGTGGATCGGAGGACTCAGAGAGCTGATATCCCCGCTCCGTGGAGCAGATGTGGCCAGAGCTTCCTAGTATCCAGCTGATGAGTAGAAAGTGCCAACCCCTCTGGGGACCGGGAGGGCACGGGGACTGGCAGGACAGCCCTGCCTGGCCCCACATGAGTGGCTGCTTGGAAAAGGGCCGTGTTCTGCCTGCAGGACAGACAGGAGCAGCTGCCTTTCCCCAAGCAAAGGCAGCGAGGGGTGCAAACAGTACCTGGAGCAGACCCAGATGATGGAAGATGCCACTTCCCCAGCCCAGCACTACTGCACGGGGGAAGACAGGTCCCTTTGAGACAGTGCTCCAGGCCTTTCCTCCTTGTCTCGAGTCCGCGGGGGTCAGTCTCTGGTGATGAAGACCACACACATAAATAAACCCACAATCTGCCCCTCCGCTGCAACGTGCTCATGTGGCTGCCACCGCCTCTGTCCGCTCCAGCTCATCTTCATAGTCCGAGACATAGGACTCCATGCTCTGCTTGGCCAGAAGCTCTCTCCGGGCTTGGAGCCGCTCGCAGCGGGGGCAACGGGTGGACTTGAAGCAGGATTTGTGGTAGCAGGCTTTGCACTCTGCGGGAAAGATGGGGAAAGCACAGCTGAGGGCTGGCAGGGGCTGACACAGACCACCCAGCACTCCGCACCCCAGGGAGGGATGCTCCAGGCTTGTCCAGAAGGACATTTCAAACCAAAGCCACAGCAGAACAAGCACAAGCGGGGGTCCAGCACTGTTCTAGAACCATCAGGAAGTCACGCTGCAGGGTCCCTGCACTGGCTCGCAAAGCCTTTGGGAGCACAGGTAGGAGGTTTTCTGGTCTGCACAAGATCCGTCCTCAAACTTTCCTGATTCTCCAAGGAAATAGCGATGCTGCCCCGAGTTTTTTCTGGCACTGCACTTGCCAAACCAAGGCTTGCATTTTGCCAGGAGCCCTTTCAAGCCAGTTCAGAGTTTGGTCCCAGGCTGCAGGGACAAGCTCTGCTTGGCCATCTGTACTGGGCATCATCGAGTATGATCCTGAAGGGGCCCAGAGATTTCTTGGCAGGCAGGAGGGGCACAGAGACAAAGCCTTCAGGCTCTCTCTGCTCTACAAGGTCAGCTCCAGCCATGCAAGCAGGGGCAGGGGAGCTGCAGCCTGTCCCATAACCACAGCAGAAGGGAAGCCAGGGCTCCCAGACACCTGATCGTGGCAGCCACAACTCAAACACTCACTGCTGCCGGGACAGGCAGCACACAGCGTGGCCAGCAAGAGACCAACATGCTCCACCATGCCAGCAGCTCTGGCCAAACACTGTTATAACGCTGATCTGCTGCTGTGATAACGTTGTTCAGAGACACAGGCCATGCACAGAGGCACACCGACCTGGCTGCTCTGGCTCTGTACCTCTTGCTAGCACAAATGCCACTCTGACTGGAGGCAGACTTTGGTAGCTCCAAGGTCTGTCCCCTCTCTGTTTCTCCCCAGCATCTCACCTTCACAGGTCCTGCACTTGTTGAGCTCAAAGGGAAAGATGATATCGCTCTCATTCTGGCAGAACTCACAGATGAAGCCTTTGGCTTGGCACAGCTGCAAGGAGAAAAGGTGAGGAAAAATCACAGAAACATAGAATAGTTTGGGTTAGAAGGGACCTTTAAAGGTCATCTAGTCCAATCACCCCTGCAATGAGCAGGGACATCTTCAACTAGATCAGGCTGCTCAGAGCCTCATTCAACCTTTTCCAGGGACGGAGCATCTACCAAGCAGCTAAACACTTCCCATCTCCCTGGTAAGCAGGACAGGAGGGTAGGGAGAAGCAGGACAACAGGACAAGTGCCCAGCTCTAACCACGTGGAACAGCCCTTCCCCAGCATGGAGCACAGCAATGCTGAATCAACATGTGTCAGGGGTGGGGGTGAGCCAAAATGGGGTATGAAATGTGCTAGGATGCATGGCTGGCTAGGAGCTCTGTGGAGCAGGCAGGAGCATTGAACTAGTTCATTTGGCGGCTGCCCGGCATGTCAAAGGCTTCCCCATTGGTTACCTATGCAGCAAAGCCTGCTTGAAAGGGTGCTCCCGATGGTGCGGAGCTGTGCAGGAGGCAGTGAGGGGGCCTTACCATGCACTTCTCAACGTGCAGGCTGCCTGCCTTCAGGAGCTCCATCAGGCGAGGCACTAGGTCCCCCTTCTTCGTGGCGCTGAGGTCGCTCAGCGAGTAGAGGTGCAAATCCTCTGTCAAGTGGCCGGGCACTGCATCGAAGGAGTCTAGGAGACTGCAGGACAGAGAAACCAGAGCTTAGAGCAAGGTGACTCCACTAAGCCCCATCTCCCCACTGCTTCTCCTTTCTCTCCCCCTTCACTCCCCTCTCCCCCTGTCACTCATTGCACAGTCTGCACAGATTCCCAGCGCAAACTTGCCACAGGGCAGATCCAGAACAGCAAAACAGCTTCACCTCACGGCACAGGACTCACTCTTTAGCTAGCCGGCAGGTCTTAAACATGTTCTTCATGTGGAAAAGCTGGATTCGCAGCAGCTAGAGAGGAAGGTGGGACAGGAGAATCAGTAAACACAGCATGGTCCTTGGCCAAGCATGTCTGTCCCGTTTCCTGCACTGGTGAAACAACCGCTGCTCCTCAGATGCTGCTCCCCTGCTGCAGAAGTGTTTACACCATGGAGGGCAAAGCAAGCACAACCATTGTCACATGCTCCAGGAGATAAACCAAAGCCCAGCTGGACGCCAGGCAGAAATTCCTTTTGAAATTCCTATGTTACGGGACAAAGAACAAGAGCTGAGTGAAAATTCACGCTGCTGAGGTTTTAAACCTCAAAAACTGAAACATCTGCTTCTCTTCGGCTTCCCTGGAATATGGTTTACAATTGGCAACCACCCACCTCACCCAAACCCCACTCAGGAAGGTGTGGAAAGGGTCTTACCCACACTTGGTTGAGAGACTTCACTTTCCGGTACAGGGCAGGATTGATATCCTGCACGTTGAAGAGTGGGTCGCTCCAGATCTTGCTGAGCAGATCTTTGGAGAAGTTGCTCACATAGTACTTGCTGAAGTCCCACTTGCGCAGGATGCGGCTGGGGATGACTGTCTGGGCGTTCTCATGGCAGCACTGGCAGAAATACTTCCCCAGGTACTCACAGTACCGCAGCCGCTTGATGTAATCTGGCCAAGCCCAAGCAGACAGAGAGGTCAGACGAGGCACGGGCTCTGCTCAGCCACATATCAGACTCCCAACATGGCTCAGCATTCCCAACAAGCAAGGCAGTTTGCCTTGCCAGTACCTCTTCCAGCCCCAGAGTCCTCAGCACTGGCATCTGCAAGCACCCCTGCTGACTGCAAAAGCCTTTGGGACCACATTCTGGTCCTGTGCAGCCACATGTACCTACACATTCAGGAAAGATGGCTAGTCAAAGAGCTCTGCAGCTGTATCCGCAGGAGAACCTGAGGGAGCTTCAGGACCTCAGCAGGTGACTTCATCTTAGAAGAGTGTGAGATTTGCAGAGCTGGCAATGGCAGCAAACCATTTCCCCAGGGACCTTGTTGCTGAGCTCTGCCACCACCCACCCATTCTGCATCTTCCTACTTGTTCACAGGTTCTTCCCCACTCTCCAGCTACGGAGCAGGGTCCCAGCACTCACCAGGATCAGTCCGGATGCCACAGCCTGCACACCGGTAATTCTGCTTGGCCACGGCCACCTTCCTCCTGCCCAGAGACAGAAGACCACTTGTGTGAGTCCAGCCCTGAGGGTACCTGGTACCAGAGGATGGGCACTGGCACAGGGCTGGATGGCAGAGATCGCCACATGCTGTGCCACTTAAGCCAAGGGAAAAGCCTTGTTGAGCTCCAGTGCACACCAAAAGCACCGACTACAGGCACTGGCTCCATCTCACAGCACCAGCTGTCTGTGGTGACCACCGTGGATTTACCAGGCTCAGGGCTGGGAAGCCCTGGCAGTCAAGCAGGAAGGAGAGGATTATCAACCTTGGTGTTGATGAAAAAAGTAGGAAAAGGCAGGTCCCCGGAGAGCCCTCTGCTACATGGGTCCTTACGTTGGGGCTGGGTGAACATTGAAGATAATCTGCGGTCGCGGTGGGGCCCACTCCAGGTTTCCGCGCACCCGAATCCTCAGCTTGTAGATGTCAGCGTGTTCTCCGTCATCGGGAGAGATGGGCAGAGAGTCGGGGATGGGCAGGAGCTGGGAGAAGCAGGCAAGAGGGTCAGATCCCTGCCTGGTACCACAGAGGCAATCATCTGGCTGGCTTGCCAGAAACCTGCAACTGCAGCCCTCTGGAAAACTGCCAGGCACCAAGCTGCTGCTCCCGCTGAACAGGCACTGGAGAAGGGATGTCCTTGGGGATTTAGGCATTCTGCAGTAGAAGGCTGTGGTGGTAGAGGCCCTCTTGGTTGCACCCATCTCTGGAACTCAGACAAAACCCCTCCTCCAGCTACACCAAGGGATCACTGGGACTAGCAAAGCTCCTGGGCAGTGGGCTGAAGCCAGGGGTTCAGGGAAGAGCGATCAAATGCAATTGGTGACCAGGGACTCACACCCCTACCTTTTGCGGA